CATATTACAAAAACTTTATTCTGCTTTATTTTAATTATTAATAGAAACTTAATTTTTAATTCAAATTCTCATAAATCATTTAAGGTAATTTTAATTATGAATAATCTATTGAAAATTCCCATGCACTTGGTTCAATCAATGATTATTCATTAACCATTTATTAAGATTAATCCATTATTGATTAATTTAATTAAGATTATCGTGATACTTACATATTTGATGTTTATTACTATTTAAATTATGAAAAAAATGATATTCTATTCGGATTTGGAACAACAGATTATCTAACTATTGATTATCTTACCATAGATACTCTACCTACTGTTGATTATCTCATTACTATGCTTGATCGTATATCAGGTTAAAATAATGAAATTCTTGCAAATTAAGAATTAACCATTTATAGTTATTCACAATTCTAAATCACACCCAAACCCATATCAATTTATTATTATTTACTTAATTCTACCCATTATTATATTTTTGTATTAGCTTCAACCTATACTTTATTAGTTATCAATTATTAGAGATTAGATACAAAATCTGGTAAATTTTTGGAGTCTAATTTCTAAATGGCTCTAATAGCAGCTGTATGTTTATCCTATTTGATATTCATTATAGATTTCTATCCATGGATTATATTATTTTTCATTTATAGTAGCATGTTTTACAACTTGGTAAGATTAATAATGAGGTTTGTTTTGTTGCTAATTTCACGTATATCATAGAGGTTGCTTTTCTTGACTTTCTGAATGCATTAATAGTAATTACATCTATTTTATTTTCGAATGCATTCATTTTCATTACTAATGAGGACATATGATTTCTTGTCTCATAGTACTATTGAAAATTCGAAACAACTTTGGCATAATTAGTACTAAAGTATTGGATGACTTCTGCTTTATCAGATTCCTCTTGTAATTCCGTAACACTATCATCAGAATCAGACATATATTTAATTAATATAAATTATTTTCTTTTCTTTTTTTATGTACAATTAATATTGAAAATAATTGTGAATATTTATTGACTTATTATTAATTTTTTTGTTAATAGGGTTTTCTCATATACAAAAGTATTATGAAATGGTCTATTCACACTAAAGACACTATTATTACTTAAAGATATTTTTATTATATTATGATTTTTTAAAAACAAATAATATTTTATTCAAACTAACTCTAATCCTTTTATTTAGCAGAAGTATTATGTTTATTTTATCAATCTGAATTTAAAAGAATCTGTAGTGAATATCTTAGTTATTATTTAATATTATTAGAAATACTTACTTACTCTTACATGCTTGACATATTTTAATTAGTTATAAACAATAATTAGAGGAGAATACCCCGTTGAGAATTCAAATATTAATAGGAATTAAATGATTAATATAATTTATTATGAGAATGATGAATTAAAGACTTGATTAGATGGATTTTATTTTATTTAAATTTTTTTTAAAAAATTAGCAATGAGGTAATAAATGTCTCTTAACCCTACTTTAGCAAGATCCAAAGTGAATAATTGAAGAAATTCATCCATGAAATGTTGACAGAGAGAAAGAAGAGAAACTTTAAAGAGACTACAGAGTTGTAAATCTAATTGAGAGATTACGATGTCTAGAAAGACAAGCGTTTCTAAGGCTCAACACGTTTGTTACATGCCCCTTACCCTAACATCAAAATCGGTGTTATTGGTAATTTAACTCATTGCGGTACGATTTACCTCTCATCGATTCAGATCAGGCCAAGGCCCTCGGTCTCACCGCGATCGATTAAGAAGGCCTGAAGAAGTTCAACAAAGAGAAGAAGCCAATCAAAAAGTGGTGCAAACCTTTTGACATCTTGATTGCCTCAGAATCCCTTATGAAAGTTATTCCAAGACTTGTTGGTAATGTCTTTACCAAGATTGGTAAATTCCCAATTGCCATTCCTGAAACAGAATCAGTTAGCAGCAAAGTTAATGAAGTCAAGTCTTCAGTCAAGTATCTTTTTTAAAAAATCAATTCAGATTCCAATTGAAAAACACATTGTCACTTGGTACAGCCTTCGGTACTGATGAAATGACCGAAGATTAACTCAGATAAAACTTGAGTACAACCATTAACTTCTTGGTTTCCCTCCTTAAAAAGGGATGGTAGAATGTTGGTACGCTCCACATTAAGACCTCCATGGGTAAACCAATTAAAATCTATGGATGATATTTTCAGAAATTCGTACATTAAACAATAATATTTTCTACACAATATATATATATATAATAAATGAATGTAGGGTGAGTATCTATAAAGATAATAGAAGGATGAGAGATTATTCTTGATATGGAAATATTCATGTCTAAGTAGTAAAGAATATATTACTTTAACAGTTAAATCCTATACTAATTGAATTTAATATATATTTATCTGTTTATTGAGATATTCTTGTATTACTAATCCAGTATAGAATTGTTAAATCTACTACTATATTTAATAATAATACAAAAATAATTATATGTAAATAGTAGCTCAAAGAAAATACCATAGATTTAGTGAGAATAGAATTAAAAATATCTAAATGGATGGATAAGTTTAATTTTAGAATAGCATATTTAAAAACAATATGAAATAGTAAATTGAATTATTAAATTTAGAAGTTTATTAAATACGTAATAGCTAACTTAAAATAGGTAATTCCAAAATATTTAACAGAAAGAAAATCAAATTTATCAATATTTATTAAGTTAGTTTAGATGTGTAAAATGATTATTTTTAAAATATTATAGTTTTATTTTTTATTTGTTAATAAATTTAACTTTTTACTGTTAGGATAACAAAGAATACTTCTAATGGAATCTCAAATTTATTAAGTGTATTCTAACGAAATTATGGGTTTTCAGGAATCAATTATTTTTATTCATATAAAGCTAATGTAGTGAATTGAATAAAGATTATTAAATACAATATATATTTAACCTTAAGAATTTAATCTAAGTCATCTAAACTTATGAATATTAAAGTTAATTTAAACTATCTACATGTATAAAATTTTGAAATTGACATCTTCTCTTTTGCATTAAAATATATATATATAATAAAATAATGAAAAAGGAGAAATTAATCATAGAAATATGAAAACAATTCTAAATTTTTGACTTAAAAATAGTTCAAATGAAATAATATTTACCATGAATTTGATATTGTATTGAAAAATGAATGATAAATACTTAATATTCAGAGAGAAACAGAATGTACATACTCTTAATAGTATACAATATATTAAACAAAATAAATGATTCATATAATTATAAATGAACTAACTAAATGATCTTTTAATTGATTAAGAAGAGAAGTAATCAAACTTCATTACTTAATACTGTAAGCCTCTTAGAATTCTTGGGAAGGGTGCGTTTTCAACAGTAGTAGAGATACAAAATTTAATGACTAATAAAAAAGGTGCACTTAAAATTATAGAGAAATCACATTTCAATACTTTACAATTAGAAATGTTGAGAAAGGAAGCTCAATTGTTAAATTAATTGAATCATTAAAATATTGTAAGAGTTACATTTGTATGATTGCTTTGTGTTATTGTAGAGTAAAGAAACCAAAAGTAAATTATTTATAATGATGGATCTAATCACAGGAGTTACATTGGAATAATTTTAATAAAACAAATTAGATGATTAGATTGTACATAGCATTGTTAAACAATTATTATAAGCAATAAATTATTTGCATTCTATGGATATTATTCATAGAGATATTAAACCAGGTATGATGAATAAATTTTATTTAAGAAAATATTATGATATCTTAATTGGGTGAAGATGTTAAAGTAACTTTGATTGATTTTGGACTCTCAGCATAATTAACATATTTAGAAGGAACTGGAATTATGAGTGATAATTGTGGAACTTTCTTATACATGGCTCCAGAATTGATATAGAAAAAGAAATATAATAGAGTATGATTATTCAATTATATAGTAAGAGTGTAGATATATGGGCTATGGGTATAGTTGTATTCAATCTTTTAACTTAAGGTTAACATCCATTTTATTAATAATTTGATGACAAAGAATCTTATTGTAAGAAAGTTTAGTAAATGAAATGGAATTGGTAACCAGGAATGAATAATAATTCAATTAATTTTTTGATTAGAACAGTAGCTTACTTACCTGAAGATCGTTTAAATATTAATTAATGTTTAGATCATCCTTGGATTACAGGTAAAGAAGATTCTACTGAACCATTTACATTTATAGAAATCCTTAAAAGTCATTGTAACTTTTAAAAAATTAAGTCACTAATATAGGCAATCCAATTTATATAATAACTCAAAGTTTTATGTCCAAATGTTAATCAATATAAACATTACTCAACTCCAATGGCCAAAGAATTAAATAGACCCATAACAATTCCAAAAGTTAAAAAATAATCTATTTCTTAAACTAATGAGAAATTTAGATAATTTAAATAAGAAGTATTTTAAGGATCTAATGCTGATACTGGTTCAATTGGTTCAAATAGAATTTCTTAATTCAAAATATAAACAATTACTTTGAAATCTTAAAGAAGATAAAGAACTTCATGTGATTAATTATAAAAGTTGGAATAACAAAAGGAATCTTCAAAATATCTTTTCCCTCATTTTCATAGATCATTAGATAGAAGTGTTAAATCAAATCAAACTACTAACACTACAGCAGATAACTCTTTGAATCAATCATCAATTCTCCAAAAATCTGGTATAATAGATAGTAGACAATACTAGAGTAATGGGAAAACTTTATAATAAGTAAAAATATATATAAATTTTATTATAGTTAAAGAGGACAAATCATGTATCAAGAGGTTAGAATATATTGATATAATAAGAAGTATTAACAAGTCAAAGGTTAAGAACAAGTAAACCTCCTATATAAAAAAAGTCTTTAAACGATTGAAAAACAATATATACTAATTAATTTATCAATTAATTATAATTTAAAATGTCTTATATTTAATTACTTAAACAGGTAATGAATTTGGAAAGTAATTACTCTCCTGAATTGAATAGATATGAACCAAGATAAATGTTGGGGAAGGGAGCATTTGCAATTGTTATTTCAGCCTTTGATAAGGTTAAAAGAAGTAATGTTGCTATCAAGATTGTTGAAAAAAAGTTATTCAAAAGTAAGGAATAAGAAGATGCTATACGTCAGGAAGCACTAACTCTTTAGACATTGTTTCATAAAAATATAATATAGATTTTGGGAGTATGATAATTATTTTATAACTTAACATCAGTTTATTGAGACATAGCAAAAGTTTTATATAATAATGAATCAGATAGATGGTGTAACATTGGAAGATTATATTCCTAAATTATAGAGTCATGAAGTTATTCCAATAACTAAGTAAATTTTGAAAGCTTTGAGTTATTTGCATTAAAAAGATATTGTTCACAGAGACATAAAGCCAGAGAATATTTTAATAAGTTTTTGTGGAGAAGAATTGAATGTTACTCTTATAGATTTTGGTTTATCAGCATCAATTAATAGAATTGAAGATAGTTTAATGAATAAAAATTGTGGAACATTATTATATTAAGCACCTGAATTGATAAAAAAAAGAAATTACACAAGAGTATATATTAATAAATAATACTTAGTCAGTAGATATTTGGGCATTGGGAATAGTAGTTTATAATATGTTATACAAAGGAGAACATCCTATATATTAAAATGGTGATAATAAAATAACATATTGTGAAAAAATTAAAGGATTTTCACTGAATTTTAAAATTAATGAGGATTAAGATATAAGAAACTTTTTGGAAAGAACAATTGCATATTTACCAGAACATCGTTTAACAGCTGATTAATGTTTATAACATCCTTGGATTATTGGTAAGGGAGATATATCAGTGCCATTTACATTAAATGAAATAATTTAATGTTAAATTAAAAAAGAATAGAAAATAGCAAAGTATATTAAAATATTTATGTTTTTGAAATATTTGATGATTAAATCAAAAAATGTTATTGGTAAAATAGATGAAATTAATGAAATTGAATCACTACATGATAATGTATCAATAATAGCTTCTGAAATATCAATGTCTTCAAATAATTTTAGGATTCGTCCTTTAATGATGAAATCATAAACTAAATTAAATAAACCATATAATAATGATAGTAGTAGTAATTCTTTTGTTGGAGATAGTAGTAGAAATACAACAGATATGATTCCAGAAACAATTGTACAAACAAGTAGAACAAGTTTTGCTAAAAAATAATTAAGAAAAAGTAATTCAATGAATCCTTAAGAAATGATGAATAAATTAAAAACAATTAATGCTTAAAAGGGATCTTAAAAGGTATTAATTTAAATATATATATTTTAAGGAAACTTAATTAAAAAATAGGAGAATTATCTTAAATACATATAAGAGTAATTAAAATTTAGTAACTGAATCATAGAATTAAAGATTAAATATGAATAATTTCAATAAGATTGTAAACTCTCCTTTGGCTAATACAATTGGCCATTTTCAAAGATCAAATTTCTCTAAAAAACCTGCATAATTGTGATTTAGTATTATTATTAATATTATGCTCAAAATTTTCAGATAGGCTAATTTATTCAAGCCTTAATTCATGAGAAGATATGATTAGGCCAATTCTCCTTTACATATTGCAATTGGAGACACATCTGAATTAAGAACAAAGCTATTTCCAGAGAAAAGGAGAATCCCAGGAAGAAAAGGCAAAATAATCTTAGCAATAGGTGTTCTATTCTAAGTATGGGGCATAATGCATATAGTTGAAGTGAGAAGATAATTCAAGTATAATTGAATTAGTTAAATAAATTAGACGCAAAGAATTAGAGTTGAAAAAGATGCAAAGAAAATCTTTACCATTTTATTAAGCTATGCAAGATATTAGATATTTGGCAGCAGAAGATAAAAGGAATATATTGATAGAAGAATTGTTTGCTGAACATGGATCTGATTATATTAAATAGATTACAGACATCTATTTCTAAAAAGATGTGTGGTATGATAATTATATTAAATATATAGGGTTCCATTTAAGAAGAGAGCTGCTCATTAATATACAAGAGCAACAAAGGATCCATATCCTTATTTCGATATTCCAGGATCACGTTTCTTACATGGCTACGACGTATACAACATTTGATTTAAATCATAAATATTAAATAAATAAAAAAAAATGTTAAGAATAATCATTACATCATTGTTCATATCATCAGTGATATCTGTTACTAAACCAACTATAGGAATTCTAACAAATCCATCTGATTTGAAAGATTATGATAAGTCTCTCTACTCCTATTTCCCTTCTAGTTATGTAAAATGGATTGAATAGGCTGGAGCTAGAGTGATTCCAATTCATTGGGATAGTTCTTATGATGAAATTACATTCATATTAAATTAGATTAATGGAGTTCTATTTACTGGAGGTGATGTTGATTTGTATTTAAATAATACATAACCAGGATTCACTTTTAATAAATTTACAGATACAGCATCATTTATATTTTAGAAAGTTATTTAATTTAATAAGGCTGGTAAATTCTATCCTTTACTTGGAATTTGTTAAGGTTTTCAATTGATAAATTACATTGCTTCATCTTATTATGAAGTTTTAACAAGAATGACTGATGATTTGGGTAAGTAAAGATTACTTGAGATAGTTCCTGATGAAGATTCTTTTGTATTAAAATCTATTGATTCAGTTACTTTAGATTATTTAAAGAATGTTGGTAATTAATAACATTAAATGTAATAGATGGTCCATATTATTCTCATAATTGGGGAGTTGTATAATAAACATATGAAAAAGCATATTCTTTGGGAGCATTCTTCAAAATAACAGCTTATAGTAGAGATGGAGTGAATTTAAAATATATAGCAATTTGTGAAGGTAGAGAAGTTCCTATTTATGGTTATTAATTCCATCCAGAAAAACATTAATTTGAATGGATCACTAAAGCAACTCATGATGTTGAACATATTACATATTCTTAATAATTGGCTATGGATTTCATTAGTATGGCTAGAAAGAATGATAATTCTATTTCAGATGAAGAATTAGCTAAACTTATCATATATAACTATAAATAAATAAATAGAATGGAAATTCCAAATACAAGTTTTTCTTAGGTATATTTATTTGATAGAAATCGAAATGAAACCAAATCTGATTAACAATAATTAGGCATATATTAGACTATTAAATTCTTTAGAAAACGTCATTGATTGTTTGGTTTTCTATATGTAACAAAAATATTAATAAAAATAATTTTATGCTACCTTCTGTAACGCCTATTAAAGAATTTCAATCGTAGCCATTAGTTAGAAAAATCATGAAATCTTAATTAGAAAGCACAATAAAATCAAATAAGTCTTCTTCTGATATCATTAATAAATAATGCAAATCCTCTTATTAACATTATAGAAAATAGAACAACTAATAAGAGGAAATATAAGTTTAAAAACTCTTTTTTAGGAATCGTGAAAGCTCTTCAAGAGATACTCCTCCATCATTTCTTATTACAAAGCATTTTGAAAGTAGATAAGAAATGAAGCCGCTAACTATTGAAGAAACTAAATACTAAGAAAAAATAGAATTTCATGGCAAAAGAATGAAAATAAATTAGGATTCTATTGAAAACAACCTAATGAAAAGTTTCTAACGCTTTAGATTACAAGAAAATGTTTGTTAAAGATCTATTGTAACTTCATAAAGAGCCAAACGTTCTTCCATTAATATGGAATAGATATCTACAAGAGATCGTTTTTTTACAAAATCAGCAGGGTAGTTTTTGTAATAACTATTTTAAGAATGCGACAAATTGTTATTGTTAATCAATTATATCTAAATACAAGTTCGTTACAATATATATTTATGTATGTACCTGATCATTCAATTAAAGATAAATCAATTTTTGAAGAATTCACTTCAGTTGTCAAGAATAGGTTAATAATAATTTAATGTATAGGCTTAAAATTAATTCCAAAAAAATATACTTCTATTTAAAAGATGGAACACCTGTATATTCCCATTTAGATATACCACCAAAATAGAGTGTTCTAATTTATTCAACATCTACTGTATATAAATAGATTTTTAATCCATAATTATTATATCTCGAAAATTGTTGTTCTTTATATAATTGTGAAGAAATTACAAAAAAAAATGAACCAGATTATACATAATAAATTGATAGTATTATTCATACATTAGTACATTAAAATTATTAATCTATTGATGATGAATATTAAGTGGATAAAGTTCCTGAAGAAATAGAAATTAATTAATAATTTATGAATTCTAAAGAACTTAAACATTCTTATAAAGAAATCAAAAGAAATAAAAATTTTAAACCTATTATCAATAAAATGTTCTAACCTTGTAATGCTGTTAAATAAAAGAATTATCTTTAATAATATATGAATGATGAATATATAATTAAGAATCCTAAAATTGAAAAATTAGAAAAAATAGAAGGATGGTATGAATAAGAATTGAAAAAGATTAAATTTAAACCAGAAGAAGAAAATTCAAATGAAGATTTAATGGCTGTTCATGTTGATAGTATTTCAAGTCAATAAACTATTGAAAAGTATTTAATATATTATAATTAGTTAAATATCTTAAGCAGCTAAATTATTGGAACCACTTTTAAAGAAATTCTTAAATAATAATAGTGGATACTCAAAAGAGGATGGACCTGAAGTTAATTTTAATAATGATGAAGAAGAGGAAAAAGCATAAACTATTAATCATATCTAATAGAATATTAAGGAATTAATAACAAATAAAGGAAGTCTCCATAAATTATTAAAAATTAATAAAGAACTCTTTATTTAGGGAATTCCAAAGATATTAAATGAGACTAATTTCTCTAGATATGAATTACATAATACTTATATACTTTATTGTGCCTTACAATAAATAACATCTCAACGTTATAGATTCTATAATGTAGATGATGGAGTAGATTATAATACATATAGAATGGGAATTTATTAGATATTTATGCAAAGTGAATATTTAGCTTAAGAAATCTTTAATAAAATTGATTTTAATTATAGTGGTTTTTTGAATTGGAATGAATTTCTAAAATTAATGGTCAGTATTAGAGCCAAAACATTGGTTTAGAAATTAGATCTATTTATTTAAATTTCAGATAAAGATGGTAATGGATAATTATGTTGGGATGAAATCTTTCAATTATCTAAAGTTTGTTTATCTAAATATATACAAAATAGTGATGATTTTTTGGATATGCTTTGTGAATATTATACTAGATTAATATTTAAAGTTGTAGAAAAAGAACCACATGAAGAAATTCCATTTTCAGCTATTAAAGATGCCATATTATAGTAAAAAGAAGATTCAGATTTACTTTGCATGTTTTGTGGAGCTGATATTTGATTAATAATAAATTTCATGTTTTTTCCTTCAATAGCTATATATTTATTAAATATTTCTTTTATTTAATAATCTAAATCAATTTACTCTTTTTAGTATTATTATAATAAAAATAACTTTTTATTGAAACATTCTATTACTTTTAGGTCTCAATACTATATTTATCTTAAGAATATCATATTAAATCATTCATAAATTTCTACATATTAACCATTGAGTGTTCCTTTGGTGATTTTGTTTAAGAAATAGTAAAAGGATGATACCCCAAATACTATCGACAGCAAACTAATTATAATTGCCCAACCCATTGTTAAGTTTTATCTTCCGTATACATATATTAGTAAACAAACAATTGATATACATAAACATAAGCATCCTTTTTTGTTGCATTTATCACACTTAGTAGTGTAATCAGATTTTAAATCATGACATATTTTACAAACAGAAACTTAATTTCCTGGCATATTAAATTAAATAATTTATTTATTCTGGTTAATATAATAAATTGATAGTGGTATATATATTTATTTTATAAATTATATTTATCATTGATTTTATTAAGTATTATTATCTTCCTTATTTTCCCTATCATCTTTATCATTCTATATGATTAATAATTAAAAATCAAAATCCTTATATTCTTTATAATCTATTTTCTATCCATCCAAATTATCTTTTGAACTTATAATCATTAAATTTGAACTTTTTGATGGTCTCATGTTAAAATTCTATTAAGTTGACAAAAGTGTATCTTAATTTTTTTCATTGATACTCACTGGAACAATTGAACTTTATTTAATAGAATTTGTTTCCTAATTTAAACTCATTTCTAATTTAACTGTACTACCCTAATCTTCTTTTTATGTATCATAGCCAATTAATTAAAAAGGAATTCCATGTTAATGAAATTAATTCATATATGTAGATGTAAAAATAGATTATAGAATAAATTAGATTCTAGAGATTTCATATATCTAATTAGATATAGATAATTTAGTTTCTCCTATTTTAACTAATCTCTTATATTATTTTTTGAATGTATTTAAATCCAATAATCTATTATTCTTTTATACCTTCCTTATTTAACCAAATATATTTTTAGTTATCTTAATTTAATTAAAATCTGGATA